ACAAAAGCATGGATGGAGTGTTTGTGTGAACTAATATAAATTCAAAGTAAACATCATTACATAAAAGGGTACGGTCTTTTTTTTTTTTTAGTTTTATTCATTTCAAACGGGCTGTAGTTTGCCCACGGCTGGACTAGAAGCTTCCTGGAAACCCATGTTCCCAGTGCTTCCTTGAGCAGAGGCCATGCAGGTTAGAAGAAGGTATCTGGGGTTTATTTATCTTCTATAATTGAAACTTTGTAGCCTTGAGCCGACCTCAGGGCCAGCAGGGCAGGAGGGAAGCTTGGCTTCCTCCATCGTTGGGGGCAACCCGAGCCTCCTGCTGCTCCAGTTATGTAGCCGCCGCCATCTTTGTGATGGAGTGAGGGTTAATTTGCATATTACTTTTATTAGCTAGAATAGCTTTACCAAACTTTTCACTTAGTCCTTTCAAAGTCTCAGTAGGCATTCTTGCTTTGTACCATCATTACCATCCTTGATGCACAGCACATCCAATCTCTAGTAACACAAACATGAGAAATCTTATATTTGGCTTCCAAGGTATATTTGCTAATGAGCCGCTAAGCCAGCGGTTCTTAACCTGTGGGTCGCGACCCCTTTGGCGGTCGTCGTAACAGTAGCAACATTACAGTTATGAAGTAGCAACGAAAATAATTTTATGGTTGGGTCGCAACATGAGGAAGTGTATTTAAAGGGCCAGAAGGTTGAGAACCACTGCACTAAGCAGATCCTCAATAAATAATTACTCAACTGAAAAAGTTTGACTTTTCTTCTTTGAATCACCAGATGGCATTACAACCTTACACAAAAGCATGAGTAAATGCATGTTTCTGTCTCTGGAGGAGCAGAGCTTGTGCCATCAAATAACTGTGGACAACATAAAGGGAAGTCTTAACCAAGATAAATTGGAATCAGATTTTCAGTAAAAAGCATCTGGTTTTGAGTGGAAGACCCAAAATTCTTTAGAGGATTAGGAGCCCCAAAATTTCATTCCAAAGCTTTGTAGTGTGGGCTTAAACATCGTTTATTCAGAGGAGCTCGAAATGCCTTTTCAAAACCTGTAGGAAATCATGGAGATGTGGGATTGTAGTTCTGCTCTACAGGGGTTACTTAAAATTTCCCCAGGTACAACTCTAGACCTCTCAACAGGTAACTTAATCACAGAAAATTTTAGTCACCTGACTATAATTCTTGTAAGGAAAAAAAAATAAGGCCTCTCTTCTTTGCTGTGGCCTTCCACAATTTAGAAGCACCTGGTAATTAAGCCCTAAGATTGTTGGTTCCTCTGATTCAAACCGCTCCTCTATTCTTGCCTGTTGTAAATGTTTCCCTCCACGTCCCGAGTGGTTCAGGGTTCAGGATCTGGAAGAGGAGCGGCACACAAATGAAAGAAGAGACAAGAGATAATTTGGAAATATTGGGGGGCCAGGCGGGTAAGTCCAACTCAAGAGGAAAGACTTCCACTGGTGCTCTGGCCGCACCAACCTTTTATTTGGTTTGGGATCGACCCATAGTATAGCCCTTAGGCAGGGAGGTTCCAGTGGTGGTTCAGGGTTCAGGATCTGGAAGAGGAGCGGCACACAAATGAAAGAAGAGACAAGAGATAATTTGGAAATATTGGGGGGCCAGGCGGGTAAGTCCAACTCAAGAGGAAAGACTTCCACTGGTGCTCTGGCCGCACCAACCTTTTATTTGGTTTGGGATCGACCCATAGTATAGCCCTTAGGCAGGGAGGTTCCAGTGACACACAGACTATTATTCTCAATAAGGATTTACATGCCTAAAGGTGGGGAGGTTGCTTCAGCTACCATTATCTGGATTAACAGAGGTGGTGCACAGCTCTGACCTTTGCTAGGGCTTCAAAGGTCACCAGCCTTCAGGGTTCTCTGTCTACACCTCTCTGCTAGTGAAGACAATAGGCGGTTTCCCACACTTGCCCAGCATTACTCAGTGGTTGAGCATTGACCTATGAACCAGGAGGTCACAGTTTGATTCCCAGTCAGGGCAGATACCCAGGTTGTGGGCTTGATCCCCAGGGTGCAGGGTGCAGGAGGCAGCTAATCTCTGATTCTCATTGATGTTTCTATGTTTCCCTCCCTCTGAAATCAATTAAAAAGATATATTTAAAGATAAGCAACTTTCAAGGGTACACTCTTTTTTTTAAAAAATATATTTTATTGATTTTTTTTACAGAGAGGAAGGGAGAGGGACAGAGAGCTAGAAACATGGATGAGAAACATTGATCAGCTGCCTCTTGCACACCCCCCACTGGGGATGTGCCTGCAACCAAGGTACATGCCCTTGACCGGAGTTGAACCTGGGATCCTTCAGTCCATAGGACAATGCTCTATCCACTGAGCCAAACCGGCTAGGGCCGTCTTCGGCAAATCGCGGCTCTCGAGCCACATGCAGCTCTTTGGCCCCTTGAGTGTGGCTCTTCCACAAAATACCACGTGCGGGCGCGCACGTACAGTGCGATTGAAACTTCGTGGCCCATGTGCAGAAGTCGGTATTTTGTGGAAGAGCCACACTCAAGGGGCCAAAGTGCCGCATGTGGCTCGCGAGCCGCAGTTTGCCAACCACTGGGCTAGGGCAAGGCTACATTCTTGCATCCCCCTCCTCCCTGCTGTTTTCACAACTCAAGGATAATTCACACCAAGGTGTCTCTAGTTAATATAAATTTCCCTTTCCCACCTCCTCTTCAAACAAGCCTCTTTTGACCTCTTCATAACTTTTGCTCCAGCATGTTTTATAGGCTTGGGAGAAATATTGATACTATGTCTCCCTGGGACATCTGTTGGACTGTCTCATGAAAAGCAAACAAAGTAACTTTTCAAGGCAACCTGGTATCTGCTCAATTTCAACACAAATCTGCCTCCCTTGTCACTTAGCAACTTCAATTGCTTGCTCTTTAAAAGCAGAAGCCACCCTATCTTTCCTGCCCTGTAATGACTAGTAATACTTGGCCCTTTTCCTCCGTTGGAAAGTAAAATAAACTTCCTCTCTGCATCTCTTATTTTTTATATATATATATTTTACTGATTTTTTACAGAGAGGAAGGGAGAGAGATAGAGAGTTAGAAACATCGATGAGAGAGAATCATTAAGAGAGAAACATCGATCAGCTGCCTCCTGCACACCTCCTACTGGGGATGTGTCCGCAACCAAGGTACATGCCCTTGACCGGAATCGAACCTGGGACCTTTCGGTCCGCAGGCCGATGCTCTATCCACTGAGCCAAACCGGTTACAGCTGCATCTCTTATTTTAGTTAAGAAATTTTTTCACAGCCCATATCACCAGCCAAACCCTAACAATTCCCTAGTGAAAACTCAGCACTATCCTCTTCATATTTCCTGTTATATTAAAGGCATGTCTCCTTCCAATCCCATTCTTACATGAGCATCCATTATGAATTAACCCTCTTCTGTTTTTTAAACCAATCTGTACTTAAGATACCCTTCCTATCAACATAATTGTGCTCAAAATTTCCCATAGTAAAACAAGAAACATAGCCAATCTTTCTGCTTTGGGTAGTTTTAATCTTCCTGCTTCCCATATACTCGGTGTAGGACGCATGCCTCTATGATTCATCATTATAGAAAAGAAGCAGCATGTGGCCAAGTGGTTACTGAATTTCCCCAGAGCAAACAAGATGTGGGGGTTGGGAAGAGGGTGTGAGAGCTGTGCACGTGACTGATAGCATCTGTCCTAGGAAGATTCCCCTAGAAAAGGCCCCCCGCCCATTTTTTTTTTAACCCAATGGGAGACAGCAAGACGTAGGAGACCTATTAGGAAATAGGTGACCAAATAGTACTTGGCCAATGAGGAACTGGAGGAGGGACTAAATAAATGGGCTGTGTTCATGTACAATGGGCGCCCACTCTTGAGAGTGCTAGTAAGTTATTTTCTCCATGCTTTTGTTTCCTAGTCCATCATTTGAAATTTGGACAGGTAGTTCAGTTTGTTGGTGTGCAGGTGGATTCTGGTCAGAGCACCTGCAGGAATCAACCAATGGGTGCATGAATGGGTGGAGCAATGGATAGATGTGTTTGTTTTTTTCTCTCTAAAATCAAATAAAAGGTATTTTGGTTGTCAAGGCAGCACAATTTCTGTGCCTCCTCTCTTTTGCCAATTTTTTTTTTTTTTTGCTTCCCCTCTACCCCAACCCCAACTCTTTCTCCTTTGCCATTCAACTCCAAGTGATTAGTTTTCCAAGGATTGATCCTAAGTCCTCCAACTCCCATTGCTTCATTTATATCAAGTTGAATTTGCCACTAACACACACCCATTTCCGTCAGCCCAAGAACTGTAAATACCAATCCTGACTTTAAAAATTGATGCCAGATTCCACGTGCTTATTGTTTCCCCAGCTGAATCATCTTCCAGTGCCCCTTAATAGCACTGCTAACCCTAGAGTTGTCATTCACCCATGGCATGTCTCTCCCTCATCTTCCATATCCAATCAAATTAACAGGACTAGCTGCTTTTTTACTAAATTATCTCGTTTTCTACTTGTCTCTAGTCTTCTCCATTTATGCGCCTCTACAATCTTCACATTGGACCTAGGATAATTTTTCAAAGATGCGAATCTGACTCGGCATACTTAAGGTTTAAAAATTTTGAGTGCTATTAATCAGGACTTATATTCACTGATTTACTTCAGAAGACGCCTGTCCCTCTGCATTTGCATTTAAAACCCCAGGGAAATAAATGGCCATTTCCTCCAGCCTGATCTATGCAATTTATCAAAATTCGCCTCAGTTTTTTTGTGTGTGCTTTTTTTTTTTTGAATCATTGATGTTTCTTTTTTTAAAAATAATTCTTTATTGTTGAAAGCATTACACATGCCCGCTCCTCCTTATCCCCTATTGCGCCTTAGTGTGTTTTTGTTTTGTTTTGTTTTGAACACGTACTAACAGAGAACAAAGTGTTTTACATTTAATCAAATTCACCAAATGGCGGTGGCGGTCTTTTCGGTGGGATGGGTTTGCTGTCTTACCTCTCAATGGTCCTCCACAGAATTCCTGAGATTGAAAACCAGCCAGAATGACATAGGTTCCTCCTTCCTAGTGCTTCCTACCATTCCTCCGCAAATAATCAGATTTGCCTGAGAGGATAGAAATCGGATCTAAGCCTAGGACTCCCAAGCCTCGCTTCTAACACATACCCTATTTAAATTTTACACCATGCAATTTAGGAGTTTGGAAAAGGGTTTTTTTGGGGGGGGGGGAGAAAATAGGACTCGAACCCGTAAACTGTAGCTGCTTCCTTACCTCCCGCCACAGGCGGGCTCCTGGATTAGAGAATCACCTCTGCCGCTGAGCGCGGGAGTGCAGTGCGCGCACCAGGGAGGGGGCGGATCCTGGCGCGTGCCGAATGGAGGCCTGAGGTGGGTGGGGGCAAGCTCTCGCGAGAGTGAGCTCTTTGGCGGCTGCTGCTGCTGCCACCTCTTACCAGCGCCGTTGCTGCGGAGGATTGTGGGAGCCTCCGCGTCCCGCTCGCTAGGAGAGAGGTACCTCTCCTTTTCCCTCTCCCTTTCCTTAAGGTAGGCGTGAAGCGGGTAAGAATCGGGGTGGGGTGGCCGGGGGTTCTCTGCGTCCGCCTGGAGGAGGCAGCGACTGCGACAGGGGCTGCGGGGAGCCGGCGGCGCGCCTTACTTGCTCGCTCCCGCT